TCTTCGATGTGACGTCGAGCAGTGTAAAATAACATTTGTCAGCGTGATTCAATGATAAAAAAACTAATGGTACAACGAATACACAATCGCTCGCACAGGAATTTTATAAAGTTATAACATACAGCCGGTTTTCGTATTGGAAATTGCAAGTAAAATCGAATTACGGCGAAAAGACTCGTAAGAATGATAATCAAGGACAGTCGTTTACTCACAATCGCAAACTCGCGCGACCGTAATTAACGCAGAGACCAGAGACTGCAAGAATCGGCAATTCACACCGGTCGTCTTGGCAACGGCTCGCGTTTTGTCTTTATTACTACGGATCGTTGGAATCACAGGGAAACTTGGATAATTTTGGAATTGATGTAGATCAGCCAGATTGAAGCGGTAAGACATTAAGGTCGAACAGGTATCGACCATCTGCCTCAGCGGACGTATAAAGGCGGATTACCAGAGGCGATGCATTTCCTGAGAACGTAGATAAAAGCACGCGCACATTTGTCTTCGTATTCAATTTATTGAAGTTCTTTCATCGTAATGAGAAATATCGGGTAACGGTAAACTGAGAAAAAACAATACAAAGGAACGAAATAAATATATACTAAATACATATGTATATTCAAATATATGTTGTGACTCATATAAATAACACGAAAAAATATATATATATATATATATATATATATATATATATATATATAGATAGATAGATAGATAGAGTGTCTGACATAAAGTGTCACACCGAAAATATACAAGTAGATCACGTTATTTGGAGACGATTTTTCCTCAGCAAAAATGTCGAGAGAGGCTATCATTTTTTTGCATGTTCTCAATTTTTGCCATCTTTATAACTAAACCTTAAATTAAAATTTTATTAAAGTAAACTTGAAATTAATTGGAGAGTGGTTTTCTTAATATTTTATTTCCGGACGGCTTAGCTTGCGAAAACCCTTTATTTTAAATCGCTTTTAACTCGAAAATTATTGATGCCTCAATATTTTTGCACAGGAAAAATTGTCTCCAAATAATATCTACTTGTATATTTTCGATGTGACACCTTATGTCAGACACCCTGTGTATATATATATATATATATATATAATGGTTACATTTAATATGTAGCTTCCAAAAAAATAAAACCTAACTTTCTTTATTTAAAAATATTTTTTCTATTTTAATTATCAAATATGCAATATAAATATATAAAAACTGTTGATTTCTCTATTGACAATAAAACTTTAAATCTTTAAAAAGTAATGAAGAAAAAGATAATTGTATTGTAATGTGTTATATTATCATCCTATAGGTATCATAAATTTATATTAATTATTAAATTTTACATAATTCAAAATAAAAAGACTATCAACTTTTGACACAAAGATAATATAGACGTGGCATTTAACAATAATGAATCAACATTCTTCAATATTCTTCATTATTTACTTTGATCGAAACAATTCGGTTCTATATCACAAGACCACATATTTCCCCCTTTCATCAATAGAATCCTCTCAATGGTATCGTTTGATAAAAGTATAGCCGAAACCAGGCCAGGTATTACCACTCTACAGGCTACAATTATCAGCCGGGACATGCCATTAACGAGGAAAGCCTTTCAAAGGCCAACACAGAGTTTCGATTAAACTTTGTAGGCGCTCCTCGATAAAAAAAAGACATGTATTTTTCTCGATATGCAAAGAAACTTACTTACTATTTCGTTTTAATAAAAGAATAGCTTGAGAAGTTTTTCCTATGATTTTTCATTCCGCAACAAATTTATGATATCTGCTTCTGATATCTTTTTTACCCTTTTATAATAATATAAATATCGCCAATAAAATTATTACTAATATCGATATATTAATATACAAGTATATAAAGAAAAGGAGAGAAGGGGGAAAATTATTATGTTCGCATATTTAAATTTCGCAATATAATATTGTTATAGATACATATAAAATTATAGTCATCATCAATTAAATTTATTTATTTTTATATTTTATATATAGTAACCGACAATTTTCCTTGGAAAATATTTAACAATTTATTTAAAAGGATTGAAAGCAAAATGATAACAGAAAAAAAAGATGGAAAAATATATTATAAAGCTTTCTAATATACTGCATTTCTTATTGTGCCATTTGCTATACGAACAAATAGGATTGCTCTTTCAACGATGCGGGAACGTGCAACATAAAGTCGGTCGTAGCTGTAGTTTATGTGAGACGTTTAACTGCAAGCTCTTGCAAAAGCGTATCATTTCATACCGCGTTTACTTAATATTCTTCAAGCTAGAAAAATAATATCACTTTAAAGATTTTTTTCTGTCGTCGTCTTTTGATCTAACAAACAAAAGGATACAAGATAAAAATATATTCAAATTGATAAAAACATCGTATCAAACGAAGTGAATACATCACTAAAAGAATTCTAAAAGTTAATGATACGTTAAACATTAATTATCCTTATAAAACGATAAACGCCAAAGGTAAGGATTACTCACGTCACTCGATACATAAGTCCTTCCCCATCCGCTCTGCCCTCATTCCAGTAGTCGCATTAACCTATTACATTAAAAAGTATTGACATTAATAGTAAATATTGACATGTTTCTACTTTCATATTTTTAAACTTTAATAATTAACGATACAACTTATTAAAAAATAAATAACAAACTTCTAATAAAATTATTTCTTCATAAAAGATATCAACACATATATATTCATTTTAATATAAATCAATTTTGACAAAAAAACTTCAACTTCAAGATCATTTACGCAGAAAAAGAAGTTTTTTTTAAATTTTACTTTAAACAGTTTGAAAACTTGATATTTTCTTTTTAAACTGCTTTCTTTGAAATTAATTGCGTTTTTTTTTCAAGTTACTTCAAGTTGAAATAATCAGTGCATTTCCGGCTCTTTTCAATAGAAATAATATACCGTCAGCATTATCTGACGTATATCACGATCGATGAACTTACATCTTGTCTGTGCGCGTGCGTCTTTATGGCGGCAGAAATAAGGAAACTCCTTAGTGTTTGATTTTCTCTTTCGTAGTATTTAATAATTCCTACCCTCTCTGCTATAACGCTCTCACTATGCGTGCATGCTGGTATATATGAGCGCGTGCCAAGAGATATGCATATATCATCCACATTCATCTACCTATACATACAGAGATACGCACGTACATGAGATATAAGTCCGACTGTGCTACTTCCATGTGATATACCTGGTTAATGCTAATGTCGGCAACATGTCAGAGATTTCTACTGAAAAAGCCGAAAGTGCATTAATCATTTCAACTCGCGATAATTTGATGAAGATCTCGCAGCTTAATTATAGAAAAAGTATTTTATAGAAGAAATCTGAAACTTTTCATAGTTTAAAACAAAATTTTTAAAAATAATTACTTTTCTGCGTACATGATCTTAATATTAAATTTTAATTGTTCGTGTGGTTAATTATTCCATGTAGAGAATAAATGCTGAGTATAAAGATCTTGACAGTTTTTGAAAGTTGAAATCTTCAATTTTAAAATATTTTCAGAAACATTGCTCTATATAATCATTATTTATTAAAAATCGCATACAATTTAAGTTTCATTTTTTTATCAATTCAAAGTATTCTAATTTTGTTGAAAAGTATATTTATACATACACAGTGACAATATATATAAAAATATTTTTATAAGTTTAATTCTAATCTAAGATAATAATAAAAATGTAAATGATAATGATAAAGAATATTAAAGAATATCGTTTTGTATCTTGCAGTGCATACAACACATCAATGGATCATTATTTAGGGCCGATTTTTCTAACTTCTTGGTAAGTTTTACTTGACAGGTAGCATATTTTTATTTCTTTTCAGATAAGTTTTAAAAAAAAGACGAAGATGTGCTACTTGTCGGGTAAAATTTACCAAGAGATAAAACAACCGGCCCTTAGTTCGTATATATGAATTACTTGTGCGCTTAAATTTAGAACCTAAGTTAGAAATAAAAAGCGTCTTTATGAAAAGCGTGTATATAATTTGCATTTCTGATGAATTGAGAATCGTGATATATGGATATTATTTGTCTAAAGCATACTATAATAAAATAATAATTATACAATATATAATATTTTTAAGACAATTAAAAAAGTTATACTTGACAAATAAAAAGTATTAATTAAAAAGTGTTATAATTACTGACACTTAATTAAAAGAAAATAGAATACTTTGAAATACGAGATGTAAATGGAGGAATACAGTTGACACACTTAAACGTTTAATTACAGGAGTATCATACGTTTAATAAATATGCCGACGTCAGTGATGTGTAACGATGTAAGCTCGAATCTTAATCAGATTCCTTAATTACAAAGAGCAAATTCGTAGCTCAAAAGTAAGGCGAAACCCGAGATTTCTGTCTCGTTTAAAATGAGACTCAAAGTGATTTAGCAAGAGGGTAATTGCGACTGACTCGTTAACATCGCTCGATGGGCGAGGCGAGACGAGGCCTCACACATAGATCCCTTTAGCTGAGCGACGCAATGGAATGCACCAAAATTAGAGAACCGCACCGTCCGCAGGCAATAGTAGCGCATAGTTGTGGATCCGTCCGAACACTGCGTTCAAATCAAATTACAAATACCGCAATAGTGCGACAAGCGACAAAGTTGTATGTTATTTTGTCGCGTCGCTTGAACACGACGCACGTCGGTCACGCGCGTCGACCATTATTAAACCAATTAATACATAGTAAAGTATTGGTGCAAAATTGACGCTAATTTCTTTATCCTTTAGTCCAAAAACCTATTTTCGAATTTTCACTTTGCCATGTTTTAGTAATTATGTGATATTAAAAAATATATTCTTTTTACAAATATGAAGCATATATAATCATCAATATAAAAAGTAAATATAATTTTGAATACATACTTGTAAAACATAAAAAATGAACAAACTATAAAATAAATTTTGTAATTAACGTATTATCTTGCATTTTTTTTCCAGAATTTGGCAATGATTAATGCGACGAAAAGGTGATGTGGCGAAACTTTGGTTGGACGGCCATCCTGGCCATATGGACGATCTTCCTGATTTTGAATAGCGGCTTAACTGGTGAATGGATCTTCAGTAATCTGCAGATCAACAATGAACACACTTCCTACAAAGTTTATCAAGGACCGGCATCCTCTAGTTTCGATAGAGAAGCAATTCACGATTCTACATTACGAGACGCGAAAAAGAATCTCAAATCGAATGATCATTTATCAATGCATACGAAAGCAGTTCTCTTGGAATTCAAAAACATAGAAAATCGCGATTTACGACTCAGTGGCTATGAAAAGCACAAGGCAATGGCAAATCCAATAACTACGCCAGGATACTTTAAACAAGATTTTGACAAAAATTCTTGGCTTACTACGAAGAAAATAGCAAGAAAAAACGTGTGGTTGTCAAAAATTATCGTTATGGAAAAATCGAGGAATACGAAGAATTATTGTAAATTTGTGTCAAGTTTACACGTATCACCGTCCCATGAATTGAAAAGTGCTTTGAGAAAAAGAAGGCGTAGAGAAAAAACGACCTACACGTTCTCAAGCGATCGTAAAAAAGCAGCGAAGATAAGACGCGACACTAGAACGTTTGACAGGAGAGGCGAATGGCGCAGGAAAAAGCACAAGAGGGAGCAGATCTTTAGCAGAGAAAACGGTGAGATCGCATTCTTCCCCGACGAATTCACAAAGCACTCGCGCAGTTCTATACGAGAATTTAAAAATTCCGATATCTTAAAGTTCCGAACTATAAAAGACACCGAGTTCAGGCGCGCGGACGAGAAACGTGAATATAATAGAAACGACGAAGATTCTCGTTCAAGTTTGACGAAAAACGGCAGGAATAAATTGATGTACGTGAACGTTGAAGCTAACGGATCTCGGATATTGGAGACAACTTTCTCGAACTATTCCGACTTAAAAGAAGATCGGAGCTTTGGGAATGTGGGAACCGTTACAGACAATACAAATACAATCACCAAGAATTCACCTTACGACCGTTCCGTGACTGTCTCCTGGACTACGTTAATCGTCAATTCCAAAATCTCAAACACAAACGGAGAACTTGGGAACGAAGAGAATAGATATTCGTCGATAAATCCCTATCACTCTCCGAAGCAAGAACATTCGAGATCCTATAAAACAGGTAAGTTTCCAACAAGCAAAACAACTTACAGACACCAATATTCAGAGGTAGGATTTGTAAATAGAGACGCGCGCGAGGGCGGAAAAGGGAACGTCGAAGATATTGTCGATTCGTTCGCTTTTCACGTACCGAATTTGCCCGATACCCATCTCGCTGGGGAGAGAAGCGTCAGCTTTATAGAACATACTTCTTCGCGAAAAGGGAAGAACCCGCCAAGAATGGCACGCGAGACACCCGGTGAATATCATCCTTTTATAAATAATATCAATGTGAGAATAAGCGGAAAAGCCACTACGGATTTCGGAAGCGAGTCGCAAGTACGAAGAGATGTAGGAGAGATTACCACCGGTGCGAATTATGCGACACGCAACGTGCTCGAAACTGAGCGTGATCTGTTACCGACTAATTTATTCGTCGCCAGGATCGACGAGGCAAAGTTAGAGTATCCGACGTCAGCGCGTATTTCAGTCACGCAGGAGAGGAATCCGATGCACGTACAACACGTCAGGCCCGGCTCGGACTACGAGCATCCACGGACGACCGATTTGGAAGCCCAAGTTAGTGGGGCGTTTCGAATCGGCCTCTGGAATGTCTCCGGTTTGTCGAGGCTCGCAAAATTCGGCAAACCCCTCGGCCAGAAAGTTCATAGTCGCGTGAAATATTCGCGGAAATTTGACGGGATCGATGCCAATGCTCAGCCATTACGCATCGCTGAAATAATTGATGGAAGATCGAAACTTGACAGGGAACTTGGAGCGACTTGGATCAAAAATGAATCTATCTCTCTCGATGCAACGAACGTCAGTGATAATCCAACCGAGATGCGGGTGATTAATGGATATGCGCAATCATTGAACGTACCTACGAGTGAGTCGGGATTAGAAAATGTCAGAATCATGAGTCGAGATGGAAATCATCCCGACATGCATGAAGAATCTCGATTTTATTCACGAAGCAGTGGTATCCATAACTCAAAATATCGACGATACAAACGTCACGAAGTTCGGAATACTCCGGGGAATCCGACATCGACTGAGCCTGATAGCGAGACGTGGAAGACATTTGATACGATAAGACCAACAACATCGAATTTTTTGATTAAATTTACACCGAATCCATCCGTTTCGGTTTCTCAAACCAGTAATGAGAATGAGGATCAAATATCAACCGACGCGAATTTTCTCACAACCGTAGAAGCACTGCCGTCTTCGGAATATCAAGAACTTCGAAAAGAGTGGCAATCGATTCCGCCGATGACTACTACTGATTACGAATTACGACGTACGAATGTTCCCACGGAAACGGGATCTGATTCATTAGAGACAATAGTAGATATTCCGAAGACATTCAACGTCAGCTCGATAGACACGTCGGCGTTTCTAATCAAGACGCTTGATCGATCGACGGAAATCGCTAAGATAGACAACTCCGTTATTCTGAAAGAAATTCCCCGGTGCCAGAAACGACTCTGCGAATACCCGACACCACGAGGAGCGTCCTCGATGTGTCATTAATCGAGCCCATTAATTCAGAGGGAGAAGGACACGCGATGCATGGTAGTAGCTCGATCGCTTTTACAGTCGAACCGTTTCCTCAAAGGGGAGGCATCAATCCCCTTCAGGATGTCTCGGAGGACATGACGACGGAGAATGTCGACAATTCATCGACCGCACTCTCCGAGCAGTGGCCTGTAAAGCACAATGCGGTGGTAGAAGGCGATCTCGTTCTCGGTGGACTGATGATGGTGCACGAAAGAGAAGACACAGTTACATGTGGACCCGTGATGCCTCAGGGTGGCGTACAGGCGCTAGAGGCTATGCTGTACACCCTGGATAAGCTCAACGATCGAGAGATCGTGCCGGGCGTCAAGATCGGGGCGCACATACTCGACGATTGCGACAAGGACACGTACGGCCTTGAGATGGCGGTCGATTTCATTAAAGGTACGTCGTGGATCCTGATTACACGTTTATTTATGCATATTGTCCGTAATTTCATTGTCCTGCATGTACGTGTGTGTGTTCCGTGTAAGCAAAATTTTATCAAATAATATCATAACATTGCAAAGCTGAAGGCACGAAAAATTTATAGCTCTTGCAATTTTTGTATTTTTATATTTGTCTCTATCCCTATATTGTTATAAATTGAATCGGAAAATATGATATAAATCCCAAAGAGAATTTCTTCCGTATTATTGTTATATCATTTATTTCTCATCTTATCTTATATTTTATTATTCTATCTTTAGTTTTACTAGCATTTAATTTTTATACATTTTAATTTTTTTGTATTTTTTAAATATATTTTTTTTAGATTAAAACTAAAAAATAAAGCTTAAAGTTTTATTTTTTTGTTTGCTAAATTCGAGCAAAAACCTCGTATGAATATCGAGTATTCGTCGAAAAGAATTTCCGATATACTGCGGTCATTGAATGAAAGCGCTATGACGATGCGGCTCTATAATATCTTGAGAGAAATTTCCAGCCAGGAAATTACGCTAGCGAAACCACTGCGGCGTAATTTCTGGTAGAACGAACTTGTATTGACTTATTTCGTTATCGCCTTGACGCAGCGTAACTATTAGATTTATATACTTGAGATGAAAAGCATATACATATGCGTTGAAAGCAACACTATTGCTCCTTTTGAACGCGTTCGCGGATGGTTAATAGAGGGAAATTGCCTTAAAATATCTGGTATCGATCTTTGATGTCTATAAATAATAATTATTCGTTAGATACTCCATTTGTTTTACCGCTTCAATTTTTCGTGTATTTTCTTCCCTTAGGAATAATATATATATATATATATATATATATATATATATATATATATATATATCCATATATAACATTGCAATAAAAAATTGTAACTCAAATTTATTCAACACAAATATATTTTCATTAGTTTGATGCCTCAATAAAAATTGCAGAAGCAGCATCAATTACGACAATTATATTTAAATTTGATATTTAAAGATAGGTTTCTATTTCTCAAGAGAATAAATAAAACAGTAGTAAACATCAGTAGGACAACGTTTTCCGTTCTTGAAAAGGTATCTGCTGTCGGTAAGCTTTCAAGCAGAGAAAGCTCCATCGAGCTTTTCGCGAGATACCGACAATTTTACAGAAACATGCAGCGTACGATAAATTGCAAGGTTTATCTTATGTTGGAGTCTGTGCGCTTTATCGCTACCATAACATAAACTATAAAAAATAGCGCAGCATCCAATGTTGATGGTTGGTATTGTATAAAGCACAGCGCTTTTTTTATTTTTTAGACAATGCGCTTTTTAACTCTTTACAGCATTATAACAGCTTCATAACGAAAAAAGTTTCCTTATGAAGAATCTAAAGAAATTCCTTTAAAATTGCGTATATTTATTATTCTAATATAAAAATTAAATAAACCATAATTTTATCTCTATATATATAAAATATATAAATAAACTATATAATTTTATCTAATAAATGATACGCGGTAATATTTTTTGTCTGATATAAAAATGACATATTCTTTTTCTTCTAAAATAAAAATGACACTCTTTTCTTCTGAAAAATCCTGACTATTTTAGAATCCGTGCACGCCGAGCTCTTTTTTCACCAAAATATCACTTTTTGAGTTAACACGTTCGCTTGCATTTAGGACAATATGTAGAATCATCTGAATTTCAAAACAAGCAAAGCAGTATGCAGTAAAAATTTTCCCGCACCGAACCCGACAAAAGTTACGCTGTAAGAAAAGTGACACGCCACGGGCTCATGATAACACCCGAGAAATTAAAGTCGTTGTATTATTCAACGGATGGCACACCGGAGCAATGCGGACTATCTTCGCTGCGCGGAATAGGAATTCTCTATTCAACTCTCATATTTAATCTTGACCCAGGTTAATAACTGCTAGTGAAACGCGACGTACTCTACCGCCACGAGTTTGCGAGCTTCTACCAGCTGACACCAACTCGTTGATATTCACGGTAGTAGTATAATCGGTTTTATTGATACTTTCACGAAAGAGGGACTTTAAGCGGCTTATGTAGGCGCGCGAATAGGTCATGTGCACATAAACATTTGGTCGGAAACGAGAAACCGCGAAAGCTCGCCAAAAATCACCGGTTGAACGAAAACAATTTCTCTACTTTATTTTTAAAAATCTTGTTAAGCTCTAGAGATTTTCCAGCAAGTATATTTCAGTAGATTAAAATGTTTCTTTTTAATCATTAGAAAGAAAATTTTTAATTTATTTCATTAATATTTTTGACCAAATTATCACATCCACTTTTTCCTTTCTTCATATACCTACTTAACGCTGTAGCTTATAAAATAATTTCCTATGAGCGTCCGTATAAACATATATCTTCAGACACGTTAAATATTTAAAACGAAACTGTGACAACGAAAGAATAATACTTCGTATAATCCGTTTTAGTGGTAAAATCTTTAACATAAATCCTACAACATCTATATACGCGCGCAGTTGTTGTATAATTCGTTTATTATATAGACGTGTGAGATTTAATGTAATAAAAAGTTATGCAATATCGCATAAATTACATTAAAAAAAAAAATCTGCGATAAAATCGTGCGGTTCCACGCAAGAGACGCGTATCCATTTTCACTATAGACGATATAGAGATATAGCTATTAAAGTTAACTATATCGGATTGATTCTGCATGTTTGCGGTTTGGTGCGAATAATCTTCGAACCAATGGGTCTTTATAACCGTTAATTAATATTGCATGCCGAATTTCCCATTCAGAGTGTCGCGAGCACTGTAGTCTATAATTATTATTGCATTCGATGCAGTCGAACTCTGCATACATATAGAGTACAACGCGATTGCCACGTGAGATATTAGCATCGCTTCAGATACTTGAAATTCAAAGTAGCGTTAAAAATACATGAAAAATGTTCTTTAACTTTATATATTATTTTAACATTGTATTATGTGTGTGAAGATATGTCTTGCTATAATATTGCTTTAACGTTATTAAGTATGAAAAAAATGGAAATGTTTTGATAATTTATTCTTGACTCTTCAAGTCATTTGAAAATGTCTTAATAATTGTTTCAAGATAACTATTAAAGGAACTTAGAAAGCTATTAAATAATTAAAGACGGGTAGAGTTTAAAAGCATCATTTTTTAACTCAAACACTCAAATATTACAGTAGGAGATAATGATAAAATCGAAGCAACTGCATGGAAGTGACAGCTTTTACGTCATTTATTTAGTAATTATTGCAGAAAGCTAAACTATACGAGGTATATATAAATATATTGGAAGGTTTCCAAATTATTTGGCATATATGCGTAATTTTAATATATAGGAAAGGTACGATCCTTTTAATTGAACCGTGGCGAGAATGCAGCGCCGCTATTTCAGGCTTCCTGCCGAATTGTGCATTCGTGAGTACCGGAATTCATATCTGATGGGTGAAACGACGTCGTACCCCGTTGTCATTAGAACACGGACGTTTTTGCGTTTCGGACTGCACGCGAGCTCTCGAGATAACGTTACCTCCTAGCAGCGAACACCGCAATTTGTCACGACTTGCTTCCCCGACGAGCGATTTAAAAACAACATTTTTCAACGTGTATAGTTCAGCCGAGGCACCGCAATAGGAGATAATGGCAAAATCGAAGCAATGCCGCTGTACCGCACGGAAGTAAGCGGTATAATAACGATTTTATGAAAGTTTAATCGGACTGGAATATCTCCGCACCGGCGAATGGTATTCTCGTTTCCCAATAAAAATTCACTCGGGCGCGAGAATGATGAAGAATCTGTGAAGTTGTAGCTGTACCCGGTTAAAAAATTAATTTCTGTAAGTAACAAAACGACAAATAACAGTGCGCCGAACGAGAGATGATTAATATATCTATTACGATTATTGTGAAAAAGTTCATAAAAGACGAAGAAAATGTAATTTATATCTAAAACTTTTTTAATCCTTGATGAATCTTTAATACTGACAGTCTTTAAATTCCTTCACCTCGATAAAATTTTTATAAAAGGCGATAGACTGAGGAAAGAGAAAGAGAGAAATGAATGACGGGAGAAAGGAATAAGGAAGAGAGTCACAGCTGTTTGATGTAAATTTCGAATATCGTCAGACTTCTGCCAATAAACGCGTTCTTTTTCTCCGACAAGTCCCGAGTTGTTGATCAATGTTACGGGAACGCTATACTGCGGTGGAATATTTAAACGCGCGCTCGTGGCCGATATATTGGAACATCAAACGCGTTCTTGCTTCCTTTGAATGAGAGCACCAACATTGTGTAATATACCCCTATATATCGCTTATTTTTCCAAACTTTCATCACACTTCCACTGCGTCACTTTCAACGAATATCGGAGAAACTATCTTGACATTACCAAAAATCATTTACCGAGCGAGTGCCATCGCAAATATCACATCTGTTGACATTTTCCACGCGTATCGCGAGAAACGTAGTACTCAAAGTCAATTTGCAAAACAAGTTGTCCGTCCAACAATAATTTTACGTAGAATAAATTACGTCATTGTCTGAAGTATTTGTATGAGATTGTTACACAGTAGTGAAACGCATGTTCGCATTAAAAAAGTTAAAATTCATATTAAAGGAAAATAAGAACATAGAGAATTAAATCGATAAGCTTTTCTTCGTTAAATAAATTTGTTATAGAAGAAGAAATCATATTAACGGCGCATAGCTTCGCAAATAAAAACCGCGAGGATTCATTAACCAGCTAGCGTCTAACGAGATTTAAACTGGAGTTTTCGTAAATTAGTGCGCTACGTAATAGCGTTTTTTTTTGCCAGGTTAACGCTCAACCACGGATATTTACCGAAGTGCTTGTTACAAGCACTTTGCTCATAATTTTCATCTCATTACAAAATGCAATATAAAGAATCCCGCTTGACTCTGTAGAAACGAAAGAACCATCAGAATGAATGTGG